TTAGGGGTTAGGGGTTTGGGTTTGGGTTTAGGGTTTAGGGTTTAGGGTTTAGGGTTTAGGGTTTAGGGTTTAGGGGTTTAGGGTTTAGAGTTTAGAGTTTTGGGAGGGCTCTTTGGGTTTAGGGTTTAAGAGGGCTCTTTGGGAAGTTAGGAGACTTTGGAGTACGTGCAACCACCACTACTGCTTGGACCATCAATAGCAGAAGCGCACAACCCTAAACCCTAAACCCTAAACTCCAAAAGCCCTAAACCCTAAACCGTATGTGCCCTAAGCCCTGAACTTTAAACCCCTAAACTTTAAACCCCAAACCCTAAAGCCTGAACCCCCTTTCGCTGACTCTGCCAGGGCTTGTGGCCCGGCTCGCCAGCGCGGCGAGCGTCCTGCGCCAGCGCGCGCCGCAGATGAGCTCCTGGGAGATCGAGGTCGGTTTTCCCAAAACCCCTTAATTAAGGAATATACCTTAATAATAATAGGAACCCTAACCCCTTAATTAAGGGATATACCTTAAATCTTATTAGGGTTCCGATTATGATTTAAGGTATATTCCTTAATTAAGGGAATTTGGAGGCTCTGGGTTCCTTAAACATGAGACTTTGTTGAAGGGGCACGCAGGGTTTCAATAGGGTGTTTAGGGCCTTATGTCTGTAAGGGTTTCTTCGGGTCGGGGCCGGGAGGTTTAGGGTTCTGGATGAGGGTTCAGAGTTTTCAGAGTTGGCCGTGTTCGCAGCTTCAGATTCTCAGAGGTTTCGGATTTCGTGTCTGCGAAGGTTGCAGGCTCCGAGCCCAAAGCTTTCACCCGGGCCCCTGAAGCCTCGACCCTATATTTTGCCAACTGCACCGTCAAATCCTATGACCCCAAACCCTAAACCTGAAACCCCCCCCAAAACCACCCCAAAACATGGCATCTTCGTGGAAAGGCAGCGCTGCCAGTGATGGAGAATGCTGCTAAGGATGGGTGGGGAATGGCTATCGTGGCACCCCGTGTAGAGGAAAGTTTGCGCTCGGGCTCGTTAGTCAACATCAAAGCTCACGCTGCCAGGGTCTACGAAGTGGCTTTGGGCCTTTGGAATCAGTCGTGAATCATGATGTTGCTTTCGACCACGGATGCACTGATTTGCTGTCCTTCAGGACATCTGCGACTTGTGGCATCAGCTGCGTAACAAGCTTGAGATTCGCCTGCGCAGCGAGCGGTGGCGCAACCTCGCTAAGGATCCTTTTGGGGCCCGGGGCTGCGCCGCTAGCTTATAGAGGTTTCTGATAGGCTCAGTGACGCAGAAGGGGCTGTTCCGGATAGTTGATTGGAGTTGCAAAACTGCATGGAGCATACAGGAGATGTCTCTCACCGACATGGAGCTTGTGGAGAAACTCGAGGTTGTGCATGTCGAGACGCAGTCCTTTGGTGTACCCGGCCTGGCGGTCATACCGCCTCCACCGATGCATCCGCCCCCACCACCAGCCGCAGCCGCAGCTGCCGGTGCCGCTGCCGGCGCAGCCGCTGCTACCGCTGCTACCGCTGCTGCCCCGACTGCGGGAGCAGGGGCAGGCGCGGCTCCAGGGCCAGCCATGCCTCCCATGCCTCCAATACCCAACATCTTCGGATTGCCCATTCCCCTGCCGGTCCCAGCCGGCCCTGCGGGAGGCCCTGCCGCCATCATCCCCGGCCAGCCTTCTCAGGTTCCTGGTACAGGGGTGCCCCTGGCTCCGATGCCCGGCACTTTGCAAGCCCCGCTTATCCTGCCAATGCCCTTGGTGAATCCTGCGGGACCCCAAGCTGCCCCTGCCGGGCCAGCCGGGCCTGGCGTAGCCACGCCCGCCGTTGCGGCAGCCACCGCCATTGCTTCCAGCACAGCGCAGCAGGTCGCCGGCGTGGTGCACCAGCTGATCAACCAAGTCATGCAGGCAGGCGCAATAGCCAGTGTCGACGGCATGCCTTCGTGCGCCTTGAGAAGTAGTGTCGGAGACGTAGTATCCGCGAACCTCTATAGACGATGGCTCTGCAGACTGGCCAGGCTGGCCCGAATGGCGGAGCTGGAGGTTGCCGCGCAGACTTGTTGCAAGTACTTCTGGGCTCCATTGAACACCCAAGAAGACGATGCCACATTTCAAGAAAACCCCTAGGATCCTGGGATACCAAGACCCAAAACCCGCCCCGCAGGACCCCAAACCATATAAACCCTAAACCCTATAAACCCTAAACCCTAAGCCGAAACCGCAATTAAACCCTATAAGCCCTAAGCCCTAAACCCTAAACCCCATGAGCCCTAAGCCCTGAACCCTGAATCCCCAAGCACTGTCCTTCGTAGGCGCCGGAGCCGCCGGGCCTCCTCCGACGGGACCGCCCCCAGGCGCGGAGACCCCACAGCCGAAATCCCAAGCCCGGGCACCTTTTACTTGGGTAGTTGTCAAAATTATGGTACCTTTTGGGGTATAATAGGTGCCGTATTATAATAAGGACCCAAAAAGGGACCATAATTTTGACAACCACCCACTTGAAGGTTTAGAGTTCAGGGCTTAGGGTTTACGGTTTGTGTAGGGGCTTTAAATTGAGGGTTTGGGGCTTTAACTTGAGGGTTTGGGGCTTTTGCTTGAGGGTGTGGGGCTTTAACTTGAGGGTTTAGGGCTGTAACTTGAGGGTGTAGCGCTTTAACTTGAGGGTGTGGCGCTTTAACTTGAGGGTTTGGGGCTTTAACTTGAGGGTGTGGCGCTTTAACTTGAGGGTTTGGGGCTTTAACTTGAGGGTTTAGGGCTTTAACTTGAGACTTGAGGGTGTAGGGCTTTAATTTGAGGGTTGAGGTCTTTAACTTGAGGGTGTAGGGCTTTAACTTGAGGTTTGGGGCTTTAACTTGAGGGTTTGGGGCTTTAACTTGAGGATTTAGGGCTTTAACTTGAGGGTGTGGCGCTTTAACTTGAGGGTTTGGGGCTTTAACTTGAGGGTGTAGGGCTTTAACTTGAGGGTGTAGGGCTTTAACTTGAGGTTTGGGGCTTTAACTTGAGGGTTTGGGGCTCCTTTAAACCCTAGACCCAAAACCCTAAACTGTAAACCAGTCTAAACCCTAAACCCTAAACCCTAAACCCTAAACCCTAAACCCTACAGCTTTAGCCCCAAGATCCAACGGCAAGCCCTGAGCCCCAAACTCCCACCAAAGAGGGGTTGGAAGTCGACTTGAAGGAGGCTTCTAAAAGGGTTTGGGGTTTAGGGTTCAGGGTTGAGGGTTTAGGGTTCAGGGTTGAGGGTTTAGGGTTCAGGGTTCTGGGTTGAGGGTTTAGGGTTCAGGGTTTAGGGTTTAGGGTTCAGGGTTCAGGGTTTAGGGTTTAGGGTTTGGGGTTTGGGGTTGGGGGTTTAGGGTTTAGGGTTTAGGGTATATGTGGGAGATGCTACACGCGCTCTTCCACGCGTTGCTAGAAGAGCCAGAGTTGCAACGAGGTTTATTATCAGGGTTACGATGAGGGCTGCTACCACAAAGAGCACCTTGAATCCTTCTATAAAGCAAACCTCCCCCTTCTGATCCGTTTGGATCCGTTTTGCGACCCTTATTGGAAACCCCTCCCCTAAACCCTAAACC